CTCTCTCTCTCTCTCTCTCTCTCTCTCTCTCTCTCTCTCTCTCTCTTTCTCTCTTTCTCTCGCTCTCACACTCACTCTCGCCCTTTTTCTCTTTCTCTCAAGCTTTCTCTCTTCGATCTTCTGTCCACTTTTTATGCAACACCACTAATACTCTCTAACTCTATATACTCTATATAAAATATCGTTAGTATAACTAAAACTGTGCTGTGTCCAGCTGGAATGCAGCCCTATTTTTATGCCATCATTATCCTTCCTAGTTTTTCTCACGCCTTCCACATCCATTCACATTCCGTATCTTCTACCGTACGATAAATCTTTTGTTGTTACACAGACAATTTCCTAGCAGTCAATGATTTACTGATAAATTCATATCACTAACTGTAGTCTGTCATTGGTCGGTCGATTAGTTTGATTCCCAGCTGTTCACTCGGCGTCGCAATTATTGTTATTATTTATATGAATTTTACACTCATTCAACAATATCAGAGACAGCCCTCCATTTTAAGCGTTCTCCCCCACATCATCAATTTTTCTTTTCTTTCCTCGAACAGGAGACTCTTCTGCACAAAATATAATCGGTTCAATTGTACCAATTAAAAATTAGTTTATAACGGTATAGTATGTAATAAATGAATAAAAAGATAGATTACATACATATTTCAATAAAATAATTCTGATATTTGAATATTTGTACTGGTTTCACATTTATTTAAGCAATTATGAAATTTTTTAATATAAAATAAATATAAAAAATAAAAATAATTTTTGAAAATCATACCTTCCTCTTCTTCTTGATCATCATCTTCATTATCCTCATCGTCATCTTCCTCTTCTTCTTCACCCAAATAATCCTCCTCATCACTATCCTATATATCCCGATATATATTTATTATATTTCATTAAATGTAATTAGAACATAATGCTATATAAAAACTTATAGCACCTACACAGTATTACGATTATATTATGAATAATAATTTAATAAGCGAAAGAGATCCCGATGAACGTACTATCGAGCGTGTTAAATGCGCTTTAAGTTCAACTTTATGAATTACTTAAACGTGAAGTAAACTCACCCCAAGCTTTTCCTTATAGACAATATCTAATCCTGGATCATCATCTAAGAAATCCTCGTCTTCTTCATCTGAAACTATATTTCGATATGTATATTCATCACTATTATTTTTATATACATTGATAATTTTTTTATCATTAATAAACATCTTTACTTGATTAAATTGTTATTTATAATTATTACGTTATTAAGTTCTCAACCAACCTTCTTCACTGTCTTCTTCGTTGCCACCTCCTTCTCCATCTTCGTTCCCATTGACGTCATCATCCTCCCCTTCACTGTCGACTTCGCAATCATCGGCGTCATATCTGAACAGACAAAACACAATCAATCGCTTTGAGAAAATAAACGAAATGACAAAGCGAAGCCAGTGTATAATATCGTACCCGTCAAGATATCGTAGACTGGGAATAAGATTGAAGACTTTCTCCCTATAATTATCCATATTTGTCACTTCATTATTGAACAAATCCAGACTCTTCAGGTTCTTGAACTCTTTCTGAAATATAGAAGAATTTCACAATAGAATTTTACTTGGCAATAAACGGATTACAGCTTTCTATAACAAATATGAGAACTTACCAGTGGTTGTAGCGTATCGAGATCTTTAATCTTGTTTCCACTCAAATTTAGGTGCGTCAACTTGGGGCTCGAATCAAGCAGATTTAATCCGCCCGAAATCCGATTATCACTTAACTCCAACTGCACAGTACAAAGACAATTATTACCATTTTATTAAACACCTTCTTTTATTTCTATATTATTTCTGATAAATATAATGTAATAAATATCTTGGATAGGTACTTTGCGATAGGTAGAGATATGTGTACATACCTTTTTAAGACTGGACAACTTTGGGAAGCCTTTTAGGCTGGTAAGACCCACGTTGATAAGACTCAATGACTCCAGAGCGCTGAATTCATTTGTCAGACCCACAATTTGCGTACTCCGGCAATTATCAAGAACAAGTTCTTTGATCTGTAACATGCAGGAATCATACAATTATTTACAAGTAGATAATGAAGAAATATAAATATTATAAGCAGATATCTCATGTCTCATGCAATATCTAAATCATAACGTGATCAGAAAACTATGTTGTATCGTGCAATTTTCAAATTAATATCATTTTCGAAGACAAAAACATTTGTGCGTCAAATTTTAGTGTCCTGCCTAAAATATAGCTGAATGACATCATGTCGAGAATATAAATCATGTTAAGACAAGACATTAATTAACATTTTTGAGTTAGTAAATGATCGCATTTCGGAACGTGTGGTAATCATCAATTCGTGAAATTATATTCAAATTGAAATCGTATTCAGGTTCATGCGGCTACGGAATCGTCGCGCTCAAAAGGATGCGATCGGACACAGCCGTAGTGGTGAGCGCTCGTGGTCGAAAAAGTCGTCCTCGCTAAAATTCAAACGAGCGATAAGCTTTCGCGGGAGAGATGGGCTATTTTATTGATCGGAGAAAGAGAAAGGACAGAGGGTGAGAGCGGGACCGGATAAGAGGACAGAGATGGCGCGGGGCGGTCGGGAAGGGTGAGGGAGATGAAGAGCGGTGACGAGAGAGAGAGAGAGAGAGGAAGGGGGGAGGGAGCAGCGACGTGACGGTAAGCGGAGTGTGCATGCCGCGTCTTGTTTAGCCGCGTCGGAAAAGTCGGCAAGCGACAAGCACGGACTGCGGCACGCGACGCCGAGTACGAGAAGTGGGGTTGAATACAAAAGGGGAAGGGGATGAAGGGTGGTCATCATCGATACCGGATGCCTCAATGCCGGAAGTATCGATACTCCCCGTATCACATTATTGCGTCCATGATGTAATAAGGCAAGGTGTTACATCGCCATTGGCGTGCACTCGTTCAACAATGGCCAAGAGACAAGCTTATCTTTTGAATTTTAAAAGATATTATACAAACCGCGCCAGGTGTTACTGACACCGCTGTTAGGTTCGTCGGGGTAAATTTTTAATTAGCTGCTGCTCACACACATCGACTTACTAATCGACTTATGTCTTAAAAAAAAGAACAGACCTATGGTGTAAATATCGCTATTATGCGTTCGATTTTCTATTATTATTTATTAATATATTATATATATTTATTTTTTTTTCATATTCCAGGACTGAACGTCTTGTACGATTTATGTTCTTGTTTTTTTATTTTCACTTACCATGCGAGAAGTTTCAAAAAAAAAATAGTTTTTAAAAAAAAATCTCTTTTTCTCTTTACATAGCTATTTCGACATTCTCTTGCAAATTTGAGATATTTTGGCTATGATATTCTGTTACGTTTGATACATTCGATACGCATGCCATGTTGATACACCATATGATACGCTTTGCACGACAATTTATACACTGACTCATGTTCAATAAATAGAAATAGAAAATAGAAATTCTAAATTGTTTTAAATATTGTTAGTTTTAATTTTCTCTATCTCTATTATACATTAATTAAAAAGTAATAGAATATATCTCTGTTGTCAATAAAAAAAAGTTGATACTATTAATAATCAATTCTATATTATATCACAATAAAAGAGAAAAAAAGCATCTTTATTTTTGCTTAAAAAAATTTTTTTTTGAATTTTGCATCCTTTGGAGACACAATTTATCTCAATTATTGATAATTAATTTCACATTATTAATATTGAAAAAAATAATGTACAAAGCATTTATCTTGTTTAAAAAAAAAAAAAGATTTTTATTTCTTTCTCTTTTTCTCTAAATTTTAAGTTCTTTAGCAATAAGAATTTATTCCATATCAGTTACCAGTAAACAAGTTAAGACTAACATTATCAAATACTGAAAAAAATAATATGTATCTTTTTGTAAAAGATAACTACACTCAAAACGATGATTTTTGACGAAGTTATTCTATCTCGAAATTTGTCTACTTTTGAAGGGTGAAACGAGTAATCCTTTCATTTTTTTTAGTAGTGTATTTCTATGAATTTGTATTTTTTAGGAATAATCCATCACGCACTTCCTTTCGTTAATCCGTAACGTAATTCGCAAGTTTTATTATAAAATCAGCCTCAATTTCACGGATAAGAGTTTAACGTGTCCCGCATTTACTGAGCTCTCTAATTTAATTTTGAAGTTGAATTAGATACAACTTTTTTATTTCACTCCTCGCTCAGATATCTTACGTACTCCGTGCGACCAATCGGCCGACAGGTTGGCTATATGTATCCCATGTTGCACCGATCGTAGTAGCAACGTCACAAGGTGTCATAGGAGCGGATCAATGACAGTCGCGGATCAAGGGAACCAGGAAGACGTGCACATTACGTCACTTGGATTCTCCGATGTTTCGAAACGTGAAATTGCCCCGTAATTTCCGTAATAAAGACAGATATACCTTGCAATCATTGCGATTGCACAATAAAACGCAGTTTTGTTATCGACGAATGTTTTTATTTTTATTTTCTATACGATTCCGAATTGGCGTACAAAATACGCTCTTCTACGTTCATTTCCAAGTCCACGCAATGTGATATTAAAATCAAAGGCATTCCTCGAATTTAAATAAAAATTAATCGGAACCAATTCGGAAAATATCGCCGCCATGCCCTCGAGTGATACGGCACTGCTGCATCCAAGATGCATTGCAATGCAACGCGGGTGGTCAACGCAGAGCGAACAAAGTTTTGGAGTCGTAAATATGTAAGAGCTGCTCGCAATTTTAACTAGCACGTAAACTCAACATCTGTTTAACTTATGTATTTAGGAAGGATGCTGTACAACAGTGAAGATGTTATTGTTCTTGTTCTCTTATTTCAAAATAACTGCGCAGAACGTTGTCCCGGTTCGTTTCGGCGTGATTATAATAGATACACATAAAATTAAAGCGTACCGCAGAAATAGCTTTGCAATTGTATGAAATTCTAATACGATCGAATTTTAAGTGAAAATTGACCGATAAGATTAAATACACGTGAATGAAATGTCATATTCGGTTAAACCGCTTCTTCAAGCCTAATAATATTTCTTATGAATTTAAGGTTATAGTTTGAACTGGGAAATATATATATTCATAAAAACTATTATTAAGTACGAAAAATCGTCTTAGCCGAATATGATATCTTTCAATACGTCTAATATGATTGATCTTAATTCCTCACTGAATGTAAGATCTGCATCGTTAAATTATATCAAATTTCATTCAATTTGAGTTACTTTTAATCATTATTATATAGGTCGCCACTCCTTTTATTCAATATATCGTTAATTAAATAAAATTAATTAAATAATTAAATAATGGAGTTAAATATTTAAATTAATGTATTAAATTTATCATTGTTCCTGTGTGAATTATGATATGTAACAGTACGATTCCACTAACGTAAAATTGATCTCGGTTTAAATTACTCTTTATCTTTTTCTAATTCTTAGAATAAAAAATTAAATTGAGACAGTAAATTTTATAAATGTATAATAAAGCGCCTAAATGTATAAAACCGATCGTATTAAGGAATCTTACAAAAGTCGTAAAACTGCTTTCTCTGCTGAACACAGTCAGTCAATGCCTTGAATTTAGGCACTTATCGAAACATATATGCTTCCATATACGCATAAATTTACATGTCAAGACATTAATGATTCCGTGCGTTATGCAAAAGATAAGAATCACACACTCTATACAATAAACCATTACTTACAAATCTTAGACCGTAAGAATTGACCGATTACAGTCGAGTGTGAGAAAAATAATTTTCTACAATAAGTCATTACCTAAGTTTTAAGTCATTAAGTTATAAAAAATTGACCAGTAATCATAATCGATTTTTCTTCTCACATTCTGTAACTAGTACGATTGATTAAATTCTTATAAATTAAGACAAACTTAGGTGAGAGTTTAATCGATAGAAAGCCCATTGTTAGATTTATTAATCACCTTCTTACGACTTTAAGATTTAAAAAGCTCAGATAATGACTTATCGTTATTACTTATACATATAGAGGGTACATTGGAACAATTTTGACAAAGTTTCGAGCGCGGTAAGAAAATTTCCAAATTTTTATGTCGCCTCAAAGTCGCTCTGACGCCACACCCTAGCTACGGCTCTGCGGACGCCTACGCGCCCACAGAACAGAGAGACGCGAACGCGGCGATGCACCTGAAGAAAGTCGGGCAATGCCGGCTGACATCGGCCGAGCAGCAGGCAGCTTCGATTCGGCTCGGCTCGCCTCGCCTCGCCTCGGCAATACGACGTGACGTGACGTGACGTTACGTTACGTCGCGCCGCCAGAGCGAAAAAAATTCGTTCGTCGTGGCCGCGCGTGCCACTCGGCGGTCGGATCAGCCGGCGAAGTGGACTCGTCCAAGATGGCGGCATGGTGATTGGCGGCGCGTCACGAAACGCAATCCGGTGCGCACGGCAGTGATTCGTGCTTACGTGTGTGTGCGCGCGCGCGCGCGCACGCACGCAGTGGCACGCACGTCACACGCGTGGGAAGGTAAACGAGGTGCAACGCGCGATCGACGACGAGTTGACAATAGCAATGACGGAATGGAGATCCCTGGCTAGTACAGCCGAACGCGTCCTCCGCTGGAAAGGCGTCCCCGGCGCCACGCTGGGATGCAATGGCGACGTCCAGGTTGCCGCGTGCACGCGCCTCGCTCATGGCGGCGCGCGCGTCTCGCCGCGCCGTTTCATTTACATAACGCGGCCGTTGCCGACGCGCGCGCAACGTACGCTTTTCGCGCGATCGGGATTGGTGGCGACGCCTCGATGCTAAAAAATACATTAATCGAGTAAACATATGTCGCGTTAATTCTTGACACGTATCATGTAATGATCTCTATGATCGTGATAAACGTGACGTATCTCGCGAAAGAGAGAGAACACGATCAGGAGGATCTAAAAAGATGGTTCTGTCCAATGACGGAATTAAAGTCACACGATGCATTTTCTTTCTTTTTTTTTTTTTTTGCTGGATCTCGCTCGCGTTTTAGTAAATTATTATCATTACACCGACACGAATGCAAAATTTCTAGTAAATTTACCGAGAAACGACAACGATTCAGCAGGAAAACATGCATCGTGCGGATTTACTTAGGTCGCTAGCTATTGTTCGAATTCTATCGGCCTCTTTCGGTGGCTTGTATTTGATGACACAAATGCCACTCTGTTTTTGTTATTCATTGAATGTCAAGATAAAATAATATCTGTGTCGATTTGTGTCCATTAAATGGAAAGCGGTATCTTCTTATTATACCTTTCGTCGACATTTAACGAGAAAACAAACGCTTTTTTGGGATTAGAAACTTTCTCCAACTACGCCAGCAAGTGTCCTATGCACTTTAACGCGCATCGGTGACAAAATGTCAATGGGTGTTAAGTCGTCGAAGCGATGCTTATACGTCGATATTTTCGAATTGACCAAAAGTACGGAGCACCGTTAGTAGGTTTCGATATATGTCGAAGCAATAATATTAAGAACGTTGAAAGCTTCTAGTCTATACGTTTTGGCGCTCGCTCGGGAAAGGCAACACCTCATGGCAGCCTTTTTATACCGATCGATGTCGTAAATTGCGAAGATCCCCGAGAACGATCATTATCACTGAGAGCACACCTTTATTGTAGTCACATAGAAAAATGCATGTATCGTATTTAAATATTAACAACTTGTTTCAAGTATTTCGAAAGTTCACGTATCTATCGCAAGCATCAAATTTATTCAAAGTACATTCTTCTGAATGCTAGCACGCTTAAACTTCAACCGAGACTATTGAATTAAAACAAATTTGATTTATTATATATATTGTAAAATCGTTTCTTCGATAACATTTTATATCATTCCTCAAAAGAAAATCAATTCTTGTTTCGAGTCTTCCTAAAATTTGTAATAAATATATTTTAAGATTACTATTTAAAAAATGTTGTTTGTTAAAAGAATAATTTTTTGAGATTATTCTTTTGAAAAGAAAACTAAATAATCACTTTTCTCAACAGTAGAATGATATTTTTCTGAGTGCAGGAAGAACGTATTTCGAAAACAAGTTCTTGTAAAAAAAAGAACTGTAAAAGGTTACATTTTGAACAAAGAATTGTGAGAGTGTGTAAAAATATAGAAAATACAGAAAAAATATATTTGTAGAGAAAAGAACTCTAAAACTAATAAAATAGTAGATCAAACTTTAAATTAATTTACGTTAAAACAGATTTAATTGTAGAGTAGGTATAATTAAGCGGATAATTTTTAATTTTATTGAAAAATCATTTAAGAAAATATATACTTTCAATTACAAAAAGATTTAATATTATCTGCGCACATAATATATTTTTGGAATTTTAAAATTCGAAATTATCAAGTTTCATTTTTTGGAGTAAAAATCTATATTTGTGACACCGAAGTCACGAAGTTTATAAAGGTTTCCAAAGAAACGAATTTTAAATACAGACGTAAAGAGTCATCGAAAAAAAATAATGACACAAGTTCGATGCATCAAAGTTTCGATACTTGAGAAAAACGTACTCTTACGGGACATCTAAATCATTCTCGATTTCCTCGCACAAATCGATTCGATCTATACTCCGATATTTCATAAGTCATTTCCATTAATTGACACTTAACGAACGTACAGTACATTTCTATTAGAAAATTCGAGGCACAATTACGTTTCGTTCTTTGCACAGTTACGTTTAATTAATGGACACGGTCGTAACTATTAATGGAGAATTTGACGCGCCTCGTCCGCAGTGAAATCTGCGGAAAATCCATTATCGAAGTATTTCACTGATTAACTCTAATCACATTTACGACACCGCATCGGCGCTCTGTCTCTCAATTACATTTGTTACCGTTAACGCTCATGCACACGAATAGTCCACGGATATTCAAACGATTGATTTTACAAATTTGTTCTAAAAATATACCAATCCGCGAGGACTGACTTAATTTAATTAACTCATCCCCGTGACGTCACGACGATTTTCGTTTCGCGTATTTGAACAACGGATACAAACATACGTATATATGTATATCACCAGGTTACGTAATTCAGTGTACCGATCTAAGCAGATTGATTTTCAAGTAACAATAAGCGACACGATTAAACTTCGGCCAGCGGTACAATTTTTTTTTTTACACAATCACGTGCTTCATTCCTAAATATCCTGAGATTCATATTTATTCGATGTAATTTAGCACTTGTGTATGCAAGTTTTATCGACAACTTTGCACTCGTCCTCTCATACAAGAAATTCCCTCCGTAGCATTTTTTTTTTCCATACAGAAACGATATTAAGAGACGTATTTACGTCAACGCGTTTATGTACACGGTTACATACGCTCATTGTTACAGCGAGAAATTAGACTCGAATCAATTCCCCGGATTGGGTGTCAACCTGCTCACGTATCTGTACCAAGTATATATATGTGTCGGGTAAACGCCGGAAGGATCCTACGTGAAACTATAATTACATACAAATCCGCGACGTATTTATCTTAAATTATAATTGTGTATATATACATATTCTGCGCAGTTCGCACAACGCCGATATAGGCTTTATCGTTACGTTAAAGAAACGAAATCGCGCGATACTGGACGCCGCCGGTTCATTAAATGCGAAAGCGAAGTCTCGCGGCGAGAAAAGAGGGAAACGAGGATCTATCTTCATTTATATTGCAGCCAACGCTATCATCCGGAAAGAGAGGCGGAGAATCAAGCTCTCGATCAATCGTCCGCGGGTAAAGTCGACCGACGACGACAACGTTGGCGAGAATCCACCATTAATCACATCGGCGCGAAGAAGCGGCCGGTGTCGCACGCGCGTGCCTCTTCCCGCTTTCCACGCCACCGGAAAAATGGTAACTCCTCCGAGAGGTCCCTCGTGTGTGTGCGCGTCGCGCGCTCGCGCGCGAACGTAACGAGACGCAAGGCGAAATCTCTCCCCGCGTCACGGACGCGATAAGAGAGCGGGCGACGTATAATCGTATGCGAAGGAGGTTGCGCATGTATAGCCGCAACGTGAGAGCGTGGGTCTCGGCTCCAAACTTATATTTCGGCGGGGCGAAGAAAATTCGGACGCGACGCCGATCGCCGCTCCGGGACGATCACTTCCGCGGGCGAGGAGACGGCGATTGGCGGCCGCCCGACACGCCGCTCCGCGTCGCCGGAGAGCAACAAAGCGAGAAATGAAGCGTAGTCGGGCTGCCGCAAATTAAGTGGCGAGGAAGGAAGGAAGGAAGGATGGGAAAGAAATGGAGCAGTCCATGGGAGAGAAACTTTGCACGCGTGGAGAGCTACGTTTCTTTTTTTATTCTCGAGAGAGGTAGAGAACGGAATGAAGCGCGCGCGAGATAGAGAGAGAGAGAGAGAGGGAAAGAGAATACGAGAAGTTTCCTACGGCGGTGCGCCATGCTCGTTCGCGGCCATGCATATGCCGTCCTCCGGTCGGCGAAGAGGCCGACGATGGGACGGCCACGCGATCGCCCATATCGTCGTCCGTTCCGAACGAAATTTAACCGAATGAGAGAAAGAGCGAAACAGACGGAAGAGCGTGCGAGCGGAGCACGATCTGCCACATTAGCGAGTGCGTGGTTGTTGTGTCGCTGCCCCGAAGCGTCACAGAGGCAACACGGCGGCGATTCACGTCTTCTCTTTCATCCTCTCTCCTTCGCGAAGCACGATAAACGCCGCTGTCTAACACGATCGTGCGGTATTCATGAATTAGGTTCGCCAAGAGGACGATTTAATGACGATACGATGACACGAGGACGCACGGTGGAGATCTCACGACGCGTAATAAAGAGACGCGTGTCGAAAACTCGGAGTCGGCGGAGTGTCGAGAAGAGGAACACACACACACAGAGAGACAGACAGACGGACAGAGAGAAACATGCGGGAGAGCGCGCGGGAGAGGAAAGTGCAGGAGATAAAGATTGAAGGCAGAGACGGTGGAGCAGAGTAAAATGGTAAAAGAAACGTGAGGGTTGACTTACGTCGCCGGGCTTCCTTCCCCGCTTCTCAAGCTCTATCCGCTTCTCCATGGCCGGCAGTCGGTCCCCGATCCGCTCGTTCTCGCTTCGCTCCGTACCGCGTACGTGTATCGGTCTCTTCCTCCTCCGCCTCCTCGTTGCGTCGCCACACCAGCTACGTGCCAGCAACCTTGCTCGCTCTCTCTCTCTCTCTCTCACTCTCTCGGGGAGGCCGGGAATATAATATGACGGACGGACACGGCCGAACCAACACGGTCGGTCACCGGGCAGTGCGCGGACAGCGAATGCCACCCGACTGTTTGCCTGCAGTGCGTAGCGTGCCCGCTTGACGTGTGCGTGTGCGTCGCGACTCGAGCGTTCTCTTTCCCGTGCCAGGCGTGCTTAGACGAAGACACAGCGACCGAGAGAAACCCACCTCCGACACTCGCGGTTCGATTCCGATCAGCTAAGCCCTTTACGCGCCGCGTCTCTACCGTGTCTCTATGCTCGCCGACTCGCCGGACTTGTGTGCCGCTGTGGTGGCGGTGTCCTCCTCTCCTTTTCCCTCCTCTCTTTCTCTCGCACTCGGCAGCCCCTCCCCTCCCTGTGCCTCTCCCGCTACTCCACACGCAACACAACACAAGCCGCACCGGAGGCGGGAAACGAGACACATGTCTGGCACTACTTTCGAAGCGGCCAATCAGGACGGTCGGCGCAGGCCACCCTGCGCCACCTGTCGGCCGTCGTGTTCAACATTCGATCAAGCGCGCCACCCTTTGTCGCGTTCAAACATGGCTGCTACGTGGCGTAGCGATGCTGATCATTAGAAATAAATTTACAATTTTTGAGACTTCTTGCAAATGCCCTGTGACTGTCTGTTTTTTAATAAAAGTCTAGGAAGATTGCTATCACTAACGTTGATTAGCGAAGGAATTACAGCTATTTTTATAATTATTCTTAAATATGCATGCTAATCATTGATGAAAAAATAATCGATATTAAAGGGGTAACCAGACAAATTTTTGTATATACGAATAAAGAAAATTATCCAATTGCATGTTTTATGTACATCCTTATGATAGAAACACAATCGGATACTTTTTATGTAATTAACAGCTATTTAGCAGCTATCAATTGCGATAATAATATGATTATACAATAAAATAAAAAGTATGTAGAATGCTTAAATGGATTGCTAGAACATTAAAACTTTTTACAGAATTCCTCATTAAACTTGATATTTCCACGTAAATTCTTCCTTGCAAACAGATTGCTAGAATATTAAATCTTTTTACAGAATTTCTACTTAATATTTCCACGTAAAATATTTCCTTACACATACACGGAAAAAACGAATAATTAAATTACTATGCTCATTTATATTAAACTAGATAGATGTGAAAAAATTTTCATCGATCAAAATAATTAAATTACCAGTCTCCTACATAATTTTTCTTTTATTTGTATAATTCTTATTCGTCTTTTACTTATATATATATTATTATATTCACGGCTTGGGCATGTATTTAAAATATTTTATTTAAACACAGTTTTTTTACAATAAGAGTGTATTTCAATTTTGTATTTTAGTGGTGCACATGAAAGTAAGTATTTATATATCTTGTATTAAAATTTTTGAAAGGTTGAAAGTTTCATGTATTTTGGAATTTAAACGATAAGATTAATTGTCAATCTTAGTATTATTTGAAATATAAAATACAAAATACTTTTATATATTCCCATGAAGTATAAAATAGCAAACATTTTTGTGTTCCGAAATACAAAATATAAGATACAATTATCCTATATAAATACAACGTTTTTCAAATGAAAGTATAATATTTCAAATATATGCCTAGCCCTGGTTATATTGATATTACCTAATTAGGCACTTACAATAATTATAATTATTGTACTGAAGCATATTACCATTTGCATATTTACATATTTCCTGTTTCTTACAACTTTATGTAAACTTATTCGTATGCAATAAAATAAAATTTAATTCATTATTTTAATAGTCAAACAAAATTATTCTTTCCGCATTATGTGGATATATCAATTGTCAAGATAGACTTTTATGACTAATATCTCTGAAACATTTCATATACTATATGTAACATTTTTAACTGTTAGAAAATAAAGCGATAAAGATATACATATACTAATTATTCTGAGAAGATTGATCTTACATTTAATTTTAATACATGAAACTATAACAGCTGTTTAGCAGCTATCAATGTAAATTGTGATAATTTATTTCAAGTCCAATAGTCATAATGTTGAAATACCTAAATGCAGTGTCTTCGGACAAAAAAGACTTAACACGCAAGTAGAAGGCATTAATGCCTTCATGCATTATCATGGTCGCTTTATGGTTATCGCAACATTGTAATTTGCGTGCCAATCGCCATTTTGATGATGTAACAACGTTACATTGAGAAAATAAGTGTAAAAAAAATTAACGAGTTAAGATCAATCAATTTTTTTTTACATAGAAAAATGTAGTCTTAGATATCTTCAATGTAATTTAGAGCGATAGACGATATCAATTAATCATTACTTTTTCTAGATAATTGGCGGATTTGATAACGCTGTATATACAAATTAAAAACATTATCGGAAAGAGCATTATTTTTTAAATCATTCTAAATGAGAACTATTGGAAGAGCTTATGGTTTAATTATTATATTCATATTTTTTCTTGAATAATATCAATTAATCACTAATAATTATATAAAAATGCAGATTATATGTTTCATTGTTTTACACAATATTCATTATGTATTGGGAGTACAAATTAGTTCGGTCCGTTTTCCAAAAGATGATCGCCTCCAAAGACGAGTCATTTTTTCGAGATGGAATTCGAAAATTGCCTGAGAGATGAGAAAAAGTAGTAGCCAGTGATGGACTTTAATTAATCTGTTCATTAATTTTGTTTTGAAATAAATGCATTTTTGAACACAAAAAACGGACCGAACTAATTTGTACACCTAATATATTATTATAAATACAAAAGTATGTAATGTGTGTGATTACATTTCCTAGATAATTTCCTCAGTATTTTTACGATGGAAAAATCTTTACGACTTTAATTTCGAATTTTATTTGAATCCTACGTTTTCAAAATGCATTACCGACAAAGCGATTGAAGTTCTAAAATTACCAGCATATGTGATCGCGTGCACTCATTTTGATTCGAAAGAGATTAATCGAAGATTATCGGTAACCAGAAAGACAGCAACTATATATACCTTTCATATTTTTACTTTAACAAACTTTTAGATTTAGAGTCAATAATATTATAATTTCTTTATATATGTAAATTAATTGTCTGCTATTATATTTAATTGCCTATCATTTTTACATATACATTGAGAAAATTTTCCAGTTAAAAATGGACAAAAGAAAATTTTAATCGTATCAATCAGAATTCTGATTATCTTAATTTTCAATTAAAATTATAACAGATTGAAAGACAAAATTCTGATTTTTATCCATTTCCACCCAGAATTCCAATCAATGCAACCAGTCTCTTTCTTCAGTGTGTGTATAATTTATTTAATGAAGACTACAACGTAATAAAAGTTCTTTTCGTATATGTATATTTCACAGATTTGAGACAGTGAAATTTTCACACAGTGTGAGAAAAACAATTCATAGCTGCGAGAGACGTATTGGTGTTGCATGGTAAAATTCGAATTCTCCAATTCCTGTCAATATATTGAATTAAATAAGATACAATCTTATTGCGTTTTACATCGTGTATCGCTTCCATCAGGTAAAAGCATCTAACGAAACAGATATCCATCTTTATAAGCGGTATTCATAGTCGATTTTTATATCTAAAACTGTCTTGAATATACAGTCTTATAAGATGTCATATAAGCCAATCAAAAGGCAGTATGTATATTTAGCATCTTAAAATATTATCTAAGACAGCTTAAATGAGAATAATACAGCCTCTTGATTGGTTTGTGATACCTTAATATAAGACTTGTTCTTTCCAAATCTTTTATGGAAAAAATTTTCTTCTTTGGAGTGAGGTTTCATTTACCCTGGTTATTACACTTCAAAAAAGAGACTGAGATTTCACTTCTTTGAAGTGAATCTTATTCCAAAAGAATAAATGCGTCATTCTAAAAAGAACGAAACTTGAATAATATTCTTGAACAAGAATAGTATTCTTTTTTTCAAAACTCGTTCAATTTTCAATTTCTTGGAGTGGGATTTCACTCCACGAGATTTAGAGAATGTATTTAAGATAGTCTCTTAAATACAAGAACTGACTATGAATACCGCCCAGAGAGCTGCGTTAACATCTTAAGACATTACTTATATGAACCAGTCTTAATATAAGAATGGATTATATAAATATCGCTTTTATAATCGGTATTCATAGAGTCGGTTTATTTCAAGATCATATTATAAGTAATGTCTTAAAATGTTACTACAATCCTTTGATTAACTTATGGCATTTTAAGATAGCGTCAAATATACAAGAATCGGTTATAAATACCGGCCATGATACTCCCGCGCACATCAGAAATTTTCGTCAGCGTCTTCGCGGAAGTTAAAGGAAAAAGAGAAAAGAGAGGGAAGATTGTTTCGCTCTCGCGCAACTTTCTTATTCATTTTCGTTCGATTCTCGCGCGATTTTTCACCGAGGCGAACTTTCGACTTCAAGTCGCTCCGAGCCTCCAAGAAGATTCCAGCGCGATACGCGCCGCCACGTTTGTGGCGATCCGCTGCTGCGGGTGTCGGACGAAAGGTTGAGATCAATATGCGCTCATTGATTACGTCGTGGCTGCGCTGTCGCGTCCTCCTTCACGGTGTTGATGCCGTGACGTTCCTTAACGTTTCTGGTCCGATTGACATTGAAACTTTCCGATTTTTGTATCGGTTAGAATCGGTCCTAACGATCCTGAAGATGCCGCGCTTCTGGGAACGTTTGTTCGAATTGTTCGAAACTAATTCCAATTGAAAATATTTTATTTCTCCTAGAAAAACACAATAAAAATCTATGATTAAACAATTCCGATTGAAATAGTTTCATAAGACAATAATTTTATCCTGATTTAATTTCTCGAAAATTCGATCGTTATTCTATAAAGATTACTATATACATATACATAGATATATGTATACATATATACATACTGTATGCATATGACATAAAATTATCGCGTTCGTGATCAAGATACAAGTCTTGACTGATAAAACAGTCGATTATGAATTTTCTACTATAAGATAAAATGAGACAGTCGGTTTATTTTTCGAGGTCGAGCAAAATTTGTTTTCATTTCTCCTCTTGTCTTTCTCTGACATTTAATATGTATATTTAATTTTAAATGCGAAAAGTACAAATAGTGCAATTCAAGTAAATATATACAAATATCAAATTAATATTTCATTTGTCAAGAGATATGTTTGTACTTTAGTCTAAATTTTCCGTTTATTTTTCCCTCTTTTTTAATTTAGAATTATTATACATCTATTTCACGTGAAGTGTAAGAAGTGTAATGTAATTACAAAAAACAAATTTTAATATTT